GCTGTGGTCACTCTCGCTTCCACTTGAACGCGCTCCCAGCAGCCGCCAGAGCGCGCAAGATACGCGTTTCCGTGTGTGACGTGTGTGAGGTCAAAGCATTGGGGTTTAGGGACAGTGAAGGCAAAATAGACTTAAAACGAGTAGAAATAAACAGGAGGAGGTTGACTGATCAATGGCTACAATCAAGGTGCGAGTGATATTCAATCCTTAAGCACACAGTGATAGTACTTAACTTTAAGCCTAGGTGGCGTGAGCCACCGCCCGATCTAAAGGGCACAGCCGGATCCATCCATCCATCCGACCGTCCGTCCGTCCGTCCATCCATCCATCCATCCATCCATCCATCCATCCATCCATCCATCCGTCCATCCATCCATCCATCCGTCCATCCATCCATCCATCCATCCATCCATCCATCCATCCATCCATCCATCCATCCGTCCGTCCGTCCGTCCGTCCGTCCGTCCGTCCGTCCACCAACCCACCCACCCACCCACCCACCCACCCACTTATCCACCCATGTTCCCTTGCATAAAAATTGACACAGTACCAGGCGTTGACCACTGCTGACAAAGGTTGGTGTTTTTATACGCACATTTATATAGGTCATTTACGATAATTCGCTTCATGATTTATTGCCCGCACCGCAGGATCAGGTCTGGTTCCGCATTCGGGACGACGCCATCTACTGGAGCGAGGTGTTCGAGGGCCTGGAGACGCTCAAGAAGCGCCTGAAGTTCGGCGATTACCTGCTGAACGACATGTCGCTGGGCGAGATATACCTGGGATACGCGCGAGAGAGGAAGATGGTCGACTTCGGCACCATCGAGATCAAGTACTTCGACAAGCTCAAGCCGCCCAGGGAGCTCGAGGCCGTAGCGCCAGGGGCGGGCGCTGCAACGGGCGTGCCACCGCCGCTTCAGGCCAGCAACGCCTGATGGTCAGGACGCGTTGCGTCACATGCGTCAGCACGTGCAGCGCGCGAAGTCGCACCAACACTTCGCTGCGCCGCTACAATACTGGCGCATATAACGCGTAGATTTTCAATGCCTAATACAACTATCGCTCACCTTTCCAAGTGTGAAATGTGTAGTTGAAAAACACTTACTTTGTCCTCATTGGAGCGCTTTTATTACTGGTTACAAGTGTTTCAAATATGCTTCAAAACGGGATAATATTGACTGTGGTAGTACGAGCCTAAGCCGTCATACGTTAATGAGACACGTCATCGTATACGTCACTGCGGAACAATTGTCCACCTCTAACGTGTACTTAGGGCTATGTAGACGTGTTATTTAAGCTCGCCCACGTCCAAATGCAGCCGCTGTAACCAGGAATCGAGGCCGCGGCCTTGAGCTCAGCAGCGCTAAAGCCTATCAAAAGCTTACTTTGAGGAACGGTAGACACTCCAGAGTCCATTTCGCTGCAAAACGCCTTCATCTATATAATGGCCGGAAACATGACAAAATTAAGGCTATAAGTCATACATGTTGCCGCTATACACAAATGGCTACGTGCTTAGCGCGATCAACTCAATGCGCTTATTCGCAAGGTGGTCAAACGAGCCCTTGGCCTCCCTATTAACACTCCATCGTACAAACTCCTCGAGCTTGGCGTACATAACACGCTAAAAGAGATCGCCGAAGCTCAGGAACGCGTGCAATTGACCCGAATCACCACCACCAAGGCGGGCCGCCATATCCTGCGCGAGCTCGGCTTCTTCTCCTCGAGGGCCAGGGACCCCCAGAGTTGACTCTAATTCCCCGTGAAATCCGCGACCTTATCACGATCGCTACCATTCCAAGAAATGTACACCCCAAATACAACAGAGGCAGGCGCCTTGCGCGGGCGACCGCCATCATCAAGCGCATAGACATGGAAGCGGACAACGTCTCGTTCGTGGACGCCGCTGCCCATCGCAACAACCGAGCCTTCGCCGCGGTATCATCTGCGCAGCAGACTCTTAACTCTGCCACAATCCTCACCCTAAACCCCGAAGTAGCGGAGCAAGTAGCTATAACTATAGCTATGCTCGACAGCAAACGGGAATTCATCTACAGCGATTCCAGGCCGGCCATCAAAGCCTTATAACGCGGAATCATCTCCGACCAGGCGTTACGTATCCTACGCAAAGCGGACCCGATTGCCCTGTAGCACCACACTGTCATCTGGTTCCCCGCCCATCTCGGCCAGGTGCCGGGTGCGCTATCCAACCTCAACGAGATCGCCCATGATGCAGCGCGCGCACTTACCGACCGCACCGCCACAGGGCAACCCCATCTTGCTGAGTTAGATACCAATCAAGATGGACCCATTACGTACAATGACATAACAAAGCACTTTTACCTGGAACGCCGCATTTTTCCACCCCCAAATCCGAAACTTAACAGACCGCAGGCATTAACCCTACGCCTAGTACAGACACACACGTACCCAAAACTTGCCGCGTTTCACGTTTATTATCCTCATGCGTACCCCAGCGACACATGCCCATCATGTGGACACACAGCGACACTCGCACACATGCTCTGGGAGTGTAGAACAACTCCTCCCGACTCTACCTCAAACAAGTGTGAGAGGTCTCTCGGGAGCTCACTTTTCGCCGACAAATGGGCCGTCCAGCAGGCCCTCGAAGCGGCCGTCAGGTACTCCATGTCGGTTCCTACGATGGAGACGCCCGCTACGCGCTAAGCGCGTCATGCAGGACCGAAATAAAGTTTTCTCATTCCATTCATGCATGTTTACCTACAGTATGTTACTTGTGCGGAACAACATGCAATACAAGCAACGCAATGCTTGCGCCTTCAGCATTAGCTCCGATGATCGACGTTCTATACTATATGCATGTTTCCAGCTAAGAGCGTGAAACACTTCAGCAATAATGGTGAGCCTGACCAAACCTGGGTACTCTTAAGCTGTCAAAACAGCGAGGATATTATATTCAGGTGCAATTAACATGAGACGGTTACGTGCTGAATATGGAAGGGCATTACTTTCCTTGACCTCCCCATAAGGTCTTACACACGCGAATTCTCACTTGTGCACGAATCTGGTTTTGCTTATACTCGGCGCGCTCATGTGCGGGCGGAAATCGCTCACGAGGCATCGGCGCTCGATTTTTAGCGGCGAAGCTCCTTATAGCGGCACCTGTTCGTCCCGCGTCCCGTCGTAGTATGTAACCAGTCTTACGCTTTGACCTGCAAGGTATAACAGTTGACCTCCAAGGTGGTGCCGGTGAGAGATCTCTTCTGTGCGTTGTTTAACAATAAAAATAGTGCTCAATGTACATGCCAATGGCTGCTAATGGGGAATGAGAGACAGGAGTCTCTCATTCCCCATTAGCACATAGTCAACGCGCACGCTGCGATCCCCATTAGCAGCCATTGGCATGTACATTGAGCACTATCGGACAAGAAATTGTTGCTACATTATACTCGCTTGGTGTAACCTCCTTAGTTTTAAAAAGGTTTAGCGAGCGTTGAGCCGCAGGGCCATGAATACAATGAACTAGTATATACCATGAATGAATTCGAGGTAGTTAAAGGGGGGAAGCAGATACGAAGCGCAAGCCGTGAGAAATTAAAAGCTGAATCCTCCTGTCTCTCATTTCACATTAGCAGCCACTGGCATGTACATTGAGCACTATCTGACAGGAAAAGGTTGCTACGTTATACTCGCTGGGCGTAACCTCCTTGGTTTTAGAAAGGTTTAGCGAGCATTGGGCCGCAGTGCCATGAATACAGCGAACTAGTATATACCATGAACTCAAGGTGGTTGAAGGTGAGAAGTAGACCCGAAGCGCAAGCCGTAAGAAAGTGTGCGTGTGCCACCTCTCGTTTATATAGTCCTTGGAATGTCCACTGAATGGCGGTGCTTCTATATAAGGAATATATGATAAAAAGATGCGAGATGGTGGGACTTGGAGTGTTGAATAGATGGACGAACGGACACACAGACAGATGCATGGATGGACGCATGAACGGACGCAGGGGCGGATGCATGAACGAACGCAGGGACGGGCACACGAACAGACGCATGGACGGTCACACAGACGGACGCATAGACCGATGAATGCTTCACCCCACTGTCCATCATTCGCTCCGTGGATATGCTGCAAACTTTTTATTTGTACTGCACTTTAACGAAGAAAAGTTTTAGCGCGCACATAGCTTACGTAGCGGCACTGTGTACTCGCATGCATCGTTCTCCGATCACCGTCAACGATTAAACCACGCGAAAATATTGTATATATACATAAAAATGATAGTCACAGAAGCAATAATTTACAGCTAAACATCATTGGAATAGTTACACGTCAAACGTGCATTTACACATTCGTTTGGGACAGACGGTTCCACAAAACAGACATCGCGAATACACAGCTTCAATTATAGTGCACATCACAGCACATCGAAACCTGTAGTACACTCAAACCCTACTTACGAATGGGTTTCGGAGTCATGATAACGGGCCGTTAACCTTGCTCTTTAGTATCTTTAATAACTACACGACCAGTGCTACGGTGGACCCGAACGTATGAAAACACTTGTATTGGTGCATTCGACGTGCCGTGACTAGCATTCACGCCACTAGCGTACAAAAAAAAAAAAAAACACTCGTTCAACAGCCCGAGGCCGTTGTACCCGTACGCCTTAAGTAAAATTATGTTCACATGGAAACGTTGCAGTGCACATAGACGGGGACAACAGAAAAAAGCACAAAACAGTTTTTTTTCTTACTTTGTCCCCTTTTGCGTGCACAGTCACGTTTCCAAAATACAATACCAACTAGCCAACCAAGCCATCCTCGTGAGTGTCTACACATCTCAATCACGCCGAAGACTTGTTTGCATTACGTTTTCCTGTAGCATGTTACACGTGTAAAAGTTGGTTCAGTCACACGTGTTCTGCCTTATACGGAATTGCTACGTTAGCAGTAGACACTTGTTTCGCCCCGGCAACGCGTCGCAACATTCTCGCTCTCCTTCTCCTTTGGCTATGTGGACGTCACAGTCTGTCGCAGGCAATGTGCAGCTGCCCTCCCGCGAAACGGTTACACCGACTTCCTCGGAAGGAACTGCACTCTGAGACCATCCAGCGGTCTCAGCACCAGCCCCCACGTGAGCCGTATGGTGTCGCGGTGATCAGGACTGTGAAGACGGAAGTGACGCAGTATTGTGGATATCACCACTTTCTCCTCTTGCAGGGCGAATCGCTGCCCTGTAAAAAGAGTAGGAAAGCGAAGACGGTCACGGTCGAGCGTCTTTGTATTGCAAATGTCATGGCGGGCGACAGCATATTTATAACAATAGTGGCGAACGCTCACGAGTAAGCGATATGACCCAATACGTGCTTGGCTCTCGGTACAGGAGCATGTTTAAATACAACATCGTGGTGCTAAAACATGTCGAAGAAAGCGGAATTTGCCCACTGAGAGAAACAAAATATGAAATCGAGCAGTGTCTTTAAAACAGCTCCTAAAAGATATCGAATTTGTATATTGGTCAATTACACGCCTCAAAGTTATCCGGCTACCCCTTTGTGTTCTGTGATCCAGCACAGTCCCAGAAGTCTCTGCTTCGAGGCAAGGTCTCGGAACCGCATCCACGGAGGCTGCCCAGGTCCACTAACAAAAACGATGGATTCGAATTCACCAATAAAGTTCGTGTTCTTCTTAACGCTAAGACAACTTAAACTGGAAGCGCTTAGGCATTCGTGAAAATGCGTGTCCGCAGAGTGTTTAACAATATTTGTTGGGGGTTTTTCATCCCAATACCACGATATGATTTAGGGACGACGTAGTGGGGGGCTCCGGAAATCGACTGTTGTTCCTTAATTAAAGTGTACTTATTTCTAAGCCCACTATCACAATCATTCTTGCCTCCATGGAAAATGCGGCCACAGCGGTTGGAATTGGATCCCGCAACTTTCGGATTATCGGATTAGCAGCTGAGCACCGTAACTACCAGACCGCCATGTCGGGCTGTTCTTAAGACACGTACGCGGCAAGCCAAATTCACAAATTAATCCTTTTTTAACTGATTTGTAGCGAGAGCTACATTGGCCACGTTCTAGCCGTTTCGCTGTGGCCGGTGGCTGCACCGCGAGCTGAGCCGTTGCCTAGAAACCACCACAGCTGACAGCGTCGCTCGCCGCGCCATCTGGCGTGACGTCAGAGGAAGAGTTGCTGAAACCGCGTTGCAACAATACAGGTAGAGCCGGCGTTGGATTGTATTTCGTGCTGACTGGTTGTGCCCTCGCGATCTCCGACTACAGCGCAGCTCTGGCCGACTGGCCTTCCCCTACGCCATCTCCTGACGCCGACAAGAGCTCTCGCCGAATGGTGCCCCGTCCTCGGACTCCTGCGACCGTTTCCATCTTTCCTATCTCCTCTTTACTTCCGTCAGTTTCCGTCGCTCGCTGTCCCTGCGCCTCGCTCTCTGCTTACTCTCTCTATATGTACCTTTTAATCCTATCCCTTTCATCCCTCCTTACCCCCATCCCTTGTGAGCTACTGTTGAGGTGTCGCACTCTGATGCAGACAGTTATGGGGCTCACTTTTCTCTTCTTTTCTCTTCTTTATGTGATAAGAATTACATAAGGCAGGTAGGGAATATGAGTCGGAGACACTGAAAGAAGCCAGGCTTCGTCGTCGAGATGAAACCAAGGGGAGGTGGATAAAGAACGAGCCGCACTCCTCGAGAAGCGGTACCGTTCAGAGAACCAAGCTAAGCAACGAGATTAAGCGCACCTATCGCTAAGCACACCCGGGTATAAATGAGTTACGCCACAGCCATTTTTTTTTCTACACGACCTGCCATAACGCTTAATTCATCTCCTAAGCTTCACACTTTCGTAGACAAAGTGAGCACGCTGTTCGCGCGCTTCGCAGCCGCATATATTTTTTGGACCATTCTTGTCTACGCCACCGGCGTTCCTTAACGCGCAGCTGTTTAAGGCAGCCGTAAAAAATTGTGTCTGCAGAAAACCACATGCGGGAACGCGCCACAGGATTCATGTAAGTATGGGACTTTCATCCGCAACAATTATTCATTGGGCAAAACCACCAGCGAGTACAGCAGGCGCAAGTGTTGACCCAACACTTTGCTCAGCGAAGTGTAGCATGTGAAACAAGCGAAAGGGAGAGATATAAAACGATTGAAAGAAAACGAAGACAGAAGGACAGAACGGAATGAAAAGAAACAGACACAAAAAAAGAGAAAGAAGCAGAGAGGGACATACGATGAAACGGAAGAAAGAAATAAAGTTAACAACATTGAGAAAAAAGAAATAGAAAAGAGAAACGCAAAGCAACAGTTACAAAAACAGATACAGGAAACAAAAAAGTAGACCCAAGAAAGGCCACCCAGCTCCACGCTTCCTTCATAAAAACTTCGCATCACTACTACAAAGCTGGCATATTTTTTTTCACAACCTCATGGAGCCCCGCCACGGTGTTTTAGTGGCTAAGGCACTCGGCTGCTGACCAGCAGGTCGCGGGATTGAATCCCGGCTGCGGCGGCTGTATTTTAGAGGGGGCGAAAATGCTGTAGGCCCGTGTGCCCAGATTTGGGAGCACGTTAAAGAACTCCAGGTGGTCGAAATTTCCGGGGCCCTCCACTACGGCGTCTCTCATAATCATATAATGGTATTGGGACGTTAAACCCCACATATCAATCATCAATCGATCACAGCCTCATTAAGGTCAAACAAAGGACTAGGCATAGAAAATTTTCCCCATAACACACACACGCACACAATTGTATGGCTGAATGCCCGACTCGTGCGTACCGATGCAGTTGCGCGGTCCAGCCGAAAAGGGCATGTAAGCGTAAGGGTGCCGACCGGCACAGTTCTCGGGCAGAAACCGCTCCGGGCGAAACTCTTCTGGCTCTGGGAAGAATCGCGAATCACGGTGCATCATGAACGGGAGCATCACCAGCATGCAGCCGCGAGGTACGCGGTAGCCCACTGAAAACGAGAAGCAGAGAGCACGGTCAGGCACGGCGATGCGCGTTTCCGCGTCAACAGCAAAACGCCCGGTCAAAGGCACACGCGGGAGGGGCACGTGACCTTAGCAAAAACGTCACGTGTGACGTATTACCACTGCCACAAACATGTGTAAAATATTGCTCGCGGGAAAACTTACGGATGTCGGCGTCTTCGTCGGTGTTCCTTGCGATCAGCGGGACAGGTGGGTACAAGCGATGACTCTCCTGTTGTTTTGAAAACCAAAATAAACCTAAATGATAACACGCTAAGCACAAAAGTGCATGACGTATGTGAGGTCACGATAGTAAAATGAACAAAAAAGGGGCAAAGAAACGAGGACCAAAGAGATGACGTCATCTTAGTTGACCGCATGAAACATGGCGGCCGTTAAGATGATGGGTCCGCTTATTGAAACAATATCAGGCCTGCTCGAGAACCTTGCAACAGCGCATGCTCTTTTCACTTTTGTTTTTTTTTAGTTAATGCATGCATGTGCTCAGACTATTTAATGCAAAACGTACCATCTTTTCATTGAAGGCACATCATCTTGTGCACACATTAGAGAACTGTGTGGCGTGTACATGGTTTGTTCTCCCAGCCGTTACCTCTGAGACCTGGTTCATATACTCTGCATGCTTCGGCTCGAAGAAGACAGTCAACGGTAACGCCGCCCGTCGGCCGAAGCGGTCACATTGTATGGACAGGAATGGCCACCGCTATCAGCTCCGGCGGCACGCCATTGTCGAGATAGCGGAAGCTACTGAGTAATCACCGGCCATCGAAATGCGACCGTCACGCTGAACAATAATCGGCAGCAATTTTCGGGAAGCTAGGCATCAATTATACTAGTCGAATGATAACGGTTCGCGAAAGATGCCTGATAAGGCATGCATGTGCTGCCGAAAGGTCCGGAAACTATTAATTTTATGACAGTATATACCATGTAGGGATATTCAGCCAGCCGGATCTGTTGAAGGAATCCACCTGTCGCAGACTAAATTTCAATGTGGACGAATGTACTATGTGATCAGCTTTTTATGTAAGCAAGAGACGTCTGGAATAATTTAAAAAACAAAGAAAGAACCAAAATTTTCAAAGGCGTATAGATAACGTTACATCGTACAAATGTGGCTTGTAGGAAGAAAAAAAATAAATACATGAAGCGATACAATGTCGGAGTGCAATTGATGCCACAACACTTTATAAGTAAACATCCTCGGTGACTATTCGTTATCGACATTCAAGTTGATTATTTGAGAATAGGGATTATTAGGGAGTTTTAGAATAGCGCACCACGGGCCCTTGCGGTGCGGTCGCTGCCACTGCGCATGCGTCGTAACGCGAGTCGGCGTTCGCGTTCGCGGACTGCACGCAAAAAATCCGAAATTGCGTGCGGTTATGGCGGCCCGCATGTGGCCCGCAAGCGCTGGTTTCGAGGCTACGGTGTCGCTGCGATCGTGTGTTGCGGATCGCAGCAGGGCAAACGTTATTCCAAAACGCATATGGCACCCGCTACGCCCGCATCGTTTGCAAACGGTCTTCTAAAACTCCCTGTTTTCAGAAGAGACAGACGCACTAGCAGCTGCTGAGCAGCCACGGCGGTTGCTTCGTTACCTTGATGACGCATTCGAGGTAGCGCATTTCCTTCAAGTCATCCACAGTCGCCGCTCGTTCGACGTCTTCTCCAAAAACGGTCCCCAGTTCCCGATAAACTTTGTCCTGCACCTGCTTGTACAAGCCGAGCAAGTAGAGCGTAAACGAGATGCCCATCGCCGTCGTGTCGTGGCCCTGCGACAGCAAATCATGCTTGAAACGACCTACAATTTTAATTACAGTTATAAGAACAAGCCCGCGATAATTTAATATAAACACAGTACTGCACGTTTAAATTAGCCTACATAATAATTATTCCCGAATTGTTCCTAACTATCTGCTTTCGGTTAGCGTGCCTTTCTTTACCGTCAATCTTTCCTTCAACGATAACACAGCTCCGTTCTAAGGCAAGCGCACTCACTTAGTACTTCTGGGTACAGACTCCGAATGGTTCACATGTTATTGAGCTACAGTTATCTCACTGAATGTAAGCAAAATACAAAGCTAGACGGCTGTATTAGCACGCGAAGCCACCTGATCCCCGCTGGCATTTGTTTGCAATTGCTTACATTCGATTGCATTCACATTTAGTTCAAAATGAAACCTGTTCGTACGCTACAGCTTACTGCAGCTTAGTTTCAATCCCTTTTTTTACCCCTAAATGTTGGCGTATCTTTCGTACGAAGCAAGTTCGCATTTCCAGCTTCTTAATGTAGTTCCACATTCCATCCCTCTCTTTCTGATTCCCGGTAATCCTAGGCTTTCCAGCACAGAGCCTGAGAGCAGCCTCACCTCGAACATGAAGGTGTCCACCTCCTCGCGGATGCCTTCCACGGTGAAGCTCGGATCCCTCAGGTGGCTCATGAGAAGGATGTCGAGGAAGGCGAGCCGTTTGCCGCCGTAAGGCCGATTCGCTTCCTCTTCGGGGGCCCCGATCACTGGCGGGTTTTCCAAGTAGTCGCTCTTGCGGGACTGGACGATCTAAGGGAACGCAGAATATTCGTTCACCAAGTTGACGTCACAAGGTCCCACAGCTCAGCACGCGCTGCGGGCGCTTGTCACGGACACTACTAAAAATTATCACTGTTCTTAAGGGCGTATACTCAAGGGCGTAAACTCAGCTCAAGTTTGGGTGCGACGGTCGCGTGGCCGAGCTATGCGTTACGCTGCCGGTGAAGGTTGTTTATCGCTAGATTTCGCAGTGGCGGTGGCAAGGGCACGCACGATACATTCGGACCAGAGCACGGAGTCAGTCGGCAATGGTTACATTGTGACGCACCACAGATGCAATCCGAGAGCTCTGCGCGTTCGCGGATGGCAGTGTTGTGGCGAAAGAAGGCGCCATGGGTATTCTTATCTAGTTACGATAAGAGGAGCCGCTCGACGTTGCTTTGGAAGCCTATACAGCATTCGCGAAGCCGTCCGATGAAACTAGGACAACTTATAAGGTTACACGAAACATATGATCACCATATACTAACTACAGAGCTCCAAGTAGCAGCCACGCGTGCCCCAGAGCGCATCATAAAACTAACGAATTGGGATGCATTTAGGCGTAATCGTACAACTACCCATCAGGACTCTCCTTCCCTAGAGGCTTGGATATTAAAACTTCACTCCGATTTTCAAAGAGCTACCAAACTCATCGCTGCGACGACAGAAACGCCGGATGTGGACCGGCATCTGCTACATCTCTGGGATGCCCACAGAGGCTTGACACGGCGGTGGCGGCGACAGAAACATAACCGAAAACTTCGTCTCCGAATCGCCAAACTAGCTACTGAGGCACAGGACTATGCGAACATCCTCACTAGCAACAATTGGCATAACTTCTGTGATCGACTCAACGGCTCACTAAGTACACCTCGAACGTGGCGTATACTCCGTGCTCTTTTAAATCCCATGCAGACAAAATCACACACTGCTAACGCAATCCGCACCATTCTCCACAAATCAGGGCTCGACGATAACACTCTGCTGCACACCTTAAAGCAACACTATGTATCCACGGGCCCCCGTCCCGCCTACCGTGATTATCCACACGTACACGATACGCCTCTAGATGAGGACATTACAGAAGCAGAGGTTAGGGCAGCTTTGCAAAGCATTAAGCGCAACACAGCACCCGGTACAGACGGGATTACGTACACACTTCTGCGTAATTTAGATGACCAGTCCATCGAATATTTAACCGCTTTTTACAACGAACATTGGAAAAACGGCACGCTACCACAGGAGTGGCGACACGGAGAAATCATACTTATTCCAAAGCCTGGCAAGCCGCTATCCCTCCAGAATCTTCGCCCTATATCCTTAACTTCATGTGTAGCTAAACTCTTTGAACGCGTTGTTCTCTCTCGACTACAACCATTTCTCGAAGACAATCACTTTTTTCCTGATACACTATTCGGCTACCGTCCTGGTATCTCTACACAGGACGTATTATTACAGCTTAAGGAGGACGTGTTGGATAGCCCCACTTCAAACCAGGTCCGAGCTATTCTGGCCCTGGATCTGAAGGGTGCTTTTGACAACGTCTCCCACGACCTTATTCTTGACAATCTCGCTTCATCTCAGTGTGGCTCACGTATCTACAATTACGTCAGGTCCTTTCTTTCTGATCGCACGGCCACTATTGGGATTGGAGACCTCCGTTCGGACGTCATTCGTCTCGCAGGCAGAGGAACACCACAGGGCTCGGTTCTCTCGCCCACTTTGTTCAACGTGGCTATGGCTAAACTCCCTTCCCTATTACAACAGGTTCCCAACATCCAGCATGCCATCTATGCAGATGACATTACAATTTGGGCGACCAAAGGATCAGACGGAACCATTCAGGACGCCCTACAGGAAGCTGTGTCTGTGGTACAAGACTATGCTGCTGCCGGCAGCCTTACGTGCTCAGTGGATAAGTCGGAGTTGTTAATAGTAGACAAGCGGCGCCGCAAAACCGCTGCTTCTCCTGACATTTCGCTGTTTCTTGATGGCCATCCTATCCCTCTGGTACCACGAATTCGCATTTTAGGCCTCTACCTTCAGTCCGACGGCAAGGCCTCGCACACTGCACACCTTCTGGCTCAGCAGATAACTCAAATTACACACATGATCCAACGCATCACCAATCGCAGGAGAGGCCTCTGTGAGAAAGATGTCCTCCGCTTAGTACAAGCACTCATAGTTAGTCGGCTCACCTATCATCTTCCCTTTCACAATCTCACTCTAGCTCAAATAAAAAAGATGGACATCCTTCTACGGACAGCTGTGAAGGCGGCTATCGGCTTGCCTCCACACGCATCTACACAACGCCTCCTTCAATTAGGAGTCCACAACACCATAACCGAACTCATCGAGGCCCAGCACAATAGTCAGCTCCAACGGCTCAGGCAGACCCGTCAGGGCTGCGCCATCCTGTCTCGTCTTGGCTACCCGATTCCTCAAAAACCCGCACAAGTACCACGATATAAACTTGCTTCTACTGTCCGCGCACTCATCAAAGTGCCTCCGATTCCACGCAATATGAATACCTCCCGCCACGCCGGTCGTCGACGTGCCCGAGTTCAGGCTATGACACGCGTCTTTGGTGATGGTACATCAGACTTACAAGTACTTTACGCTGATGCAGCACGCTACCCAGAGAAGTCAGCCATGTGTTTAGCCGTGACAGATGACACAGACGCCCCTGTGGCGTCTGCCACACTTCGCACTACAGACAGTGGTCTGGCAGAGGAGGGAGCTCTCGCTCTGGCAATTGTTTACGCTACGACACTGTCACATGACTCCCCTGTCACTATTGTAACAGATTCACAAGCTGCTTGCCGTGCTTTCGCTCAAGGACTTGTGGCTGCACATACACACAATATCCTCTCTTCTGTCTCACCGTCCGCATTACGTCCTGTGCGTATCGTCTGGACACCTGGACACGCCTCTCTCCATGGTAATGAACGCGTTCATGCGGTTGCCCGAGAGCTGACCGGCCGGGCTCCATTGGAAGAGCTGTCCAATCCAGACGACGCATCGACAGAACCACTAAACTACAACGCTACGCTGCAGTACTATCGACAGAGCCGTTATACGTATCCACCCCCTCATCCTTCACTTAACAGAGCAGATGATGTCGCTTGGCGGCAACTACAGACCAATTCATTTCCTTGCCTTTATATGCTAAATCGCTTTCATCCGACTCTCTACCCCTCCTACTGCCCCTTCTGTGGATCCGTACCGACGGTGTACCACTCCACGTGGGAATGCTCTGCCCCACAGGGCGTGCCTCCCATTCCCAATCCCACCCCTTCCTCTTGGGAGTCTGCACTGCTCAGCTTACGCTGGAGGGAACAGCAGCAGCTGGTCCAGCGGGCTCGCAGGGTCGCGCAAGGCAATGGAGCCCTGGACTGAGGGCCCCACCCAAAGAAGGCTCAGTTTCCATTTGTTATTAATAAATGTTTATTCTCTCTCTCTCCTCAATGACGGAAGAGAAGAAGGTGTGCCTCCTAATGCGGGGAGTGAAAGAGCAGCTGTTCGCGGGACTAGTGCGGAACCCTCTCAGCACTGTAGAGGATTTCCTCCGCGAAGCCACGACAATGGAGGGAATGCTAAGGCAGCGTTCGTACCAGTATGAGCGTCCTGGCAGTCTTTCGTCAGTGTCGTCGGCCCTGCCAACACCTGACGTCACGACTGTAAAAGACCTGACGGAGCTCGTGCGCAGTATTGTGCGCGAGGAGCTGCAAAAGCTACACGTGGTGTCTTCTCCGCCCCATGTTGCCGCTCTAACGGATGTCGTTCGCGAAGAGGTCCGGCAGCAGGTGCACCCCATGACGACTCTGCGTGCAGCCGAAGTCCAACCCATGATGGCCCCGCGTCCAGCCGAAGCTCCGCTATTAACGTACGCGGAAGCACTACGTACTCCTGCACTGGCTGTTGGCTATCCGTCCCGTCCGTCCACCCTGCAGACGGCACCGTCGTTCTACTCGGGACCACCGCAGTACGGCAACCTACCCCTTACACGGAAATCCAGTGTATGGCGTGCTCCCGACAACCGGCCTCTATGTTATCACTGTGGTGAACCAAGTCACATCTACCGTGAGTGCGCCTACAGGCACATGGGTCTTCCTGGCTTTCGTCCGGATGCTCGTCGACCCAGAGATGGTAAGCGGCCCCGTGCTATCGCCGAGTATACTTGGCAAGCCAACGATCCTCAACCCTTCCGCGTCGCCAATCCTGCTCACCATCTTCACGGTGTTCCACGTCACCTGGCCAACAATCGACCTTTGCAGACGTCCTTGCAGGAAGATCGCCTAGATCCACAAGCCCGCGCCGGGGAAACTAAGAACAGCGACCTCTGGGGGTGAGGCCGCTGTTGATCGACCGTTACAAGACCCTCCCCCGATTTGCCTGCCGACATCCTACGACATTCTTTCACCGACGTGTGCCATCGACGACAAACGGGTCTCTGCTCGTATCTCTGTCCTTGTCGACAACCACCCGCTGACCGCTCTGGTAGATACGGGTGCCGATTATTCTGTTATAGACGCTGACCTCGCTGCACAGCTAAGAAAGGTAACGACACCTTGGGGACATGGAACCAACCTCCGGACTGCGGGAGGTCACCTATTGACACCGCTAGGAATGTGCACTGCCCGCCTCCGAATTCGTGAGTCGACGTACATTGTTTCCTTCGTTGTATTGCGCGAATGCTCCCAAAACCTGATTCTCGGAATGGATTTTCTCCGCGAGCATGAAGCCATTATTAACCTTCGCGACCTGCTCATAATGTTATCTAACGACCATACAGCCCTACGAAAGGATACAGTTGCGCCGACCACAACACTTCGAATTGCTGACGACACCATGGCACACACTCGCATTGGCATGGCTAAACCTCGTTCCATGCCTGTGGCATTATATACATCTATAGGAGGATGCAGTACAATGCAAAAACAGATAAAGTTAAAACGCGTTCTTACGAAGTTTCGAAGAATTTTCCTGATCTATTCCAGAGAAGTATTGGCTGTTGGTCGAGTTGGTAATCCATCTTCAAGAAAAATGCGCAAAATACGCGGACGACGAGCTCTGCGCTTGTGCTGTTCCTTTCTCTCGTCGTCCATATTTTTTGCGCATCTTTCTTGAATATTCTAGAGAAGTTAGGCAAAGATTAACTTTTATTAAGCCAGACAACGCAGAAGCACCAGCTGTGCTAGTGCAGTGTTGCGTCGAGAGCATACGTCTTCACAGGTGGCTGCTTTATTAGTTCCTGTGGTTTGATGTTCCAAAAAGACGGCATGATTATGAGAGACGCCGTAGTGAAGGGCTTCGGAAATTTCGACCACGGTTGATTCTTAAGCGTTCTCTTAAATTTAAGTACAGTGGCCTGAGCATTCGTCTATCTAAAATGCAGCCGTCGCGGTCGGGATTCGATCCTGCAGCGCGGCCTCCAGGTCTGCAACGAAGCACCATAACCCCTAGATCACTGTGGAGGGTCGCGGCTGTTGAGCAATATGAGCGGATGTAAAGATTGCGTTAAGTGCGGCCAGAGACAGACTTTGGGTGAGCTTGTAGTCTGCTTCCCCTATGCGAAAATGTTAGTTTCTGTGATGTGAAATTGTGAAGGTGTGAAATGTATCTCTGAACACTGATTCGTCACGCATAACTCATGCTCTGTACATAGTGTAAATCATTCTTTTTTCCTGAACAGAGTGGCGTACCCGTTCAGTGAAGTTGTGCAGGTAGTCGACGTTTCGCTTGACATTCCATCCCGTAGGGTTGCTGAAGAACAAGGCATCGACCCACTTCCAGGGACTGACAAAGCGCTCCAGAAAGCTTCCCGATACGCTGCGAGAAAATATTGGAAGAGTGGCGACGAATTCTTGATGAGAGAGCACGGCTACGTTTCATGCAAATAGTCTCAGTAGCACGTGAATTGCTATCGCGCGTTCAAAAACATTTGCATGACATTCAAGCATCACTGACACGATTTTGAGGCACTCCATAAGAGGCATTTTTCGGTTCCGTGATGTGCACTATCAACGCTCTCCTTAGCCAGACAACAGGTACAAGATAGTTTACTTTGGTTTTAATAAAGTTTTCGTCATCCAGAATCTGCCAGCCAGTCCCACCGCAATGGACGAGTCAACACGGTTCACTGGGTTTGCGAAGTCTGCGCCCTTCACGCAGCCTAAATTGCGGTAATCACTGCCCGATTGTCAGATAGAAAGGTGAGTATGTAGTACTCTTTCTAGCTTTATCTCACAATTAATCTTTCTTTTCCCGTTTCCCTTCCCCCAGTGTAGAGTAGCAGGCTAGAGCAAGCTTTGGCTCAGGCCGACCTCTCTGCCTTTCTGTAAATGAACCTATCTCTCTCCCTCTCTCTCTCACTCACTCACTGTCCTATTCGCTGGACGGCGATTCGCTCATCGCTGTTCACGTGAACCACGTGTGACTCAGAGCAAATGGCAGAGCTGGTGCTCGCATTTCGTGAGTTGTAGTCTTCGTGTGACATCGCACTTGTGTTGACACATCACTGCGAAGCCAACTTGTCGACACAAAAAGCGACACTTTTTTTTTAATGTAGTGGTGTTAAATTATACATTCAATGCATTTTCACTCACTACGACACTGTTTTTAGGGCTCTCTTCACCCTTGTTTTTATTTAGAACAACAAGCCGATAAAATTTAAATTTCGCGCCAGTACTTCTTTATCGTTGTGAGAGGCCACGTAGTTCAGCCATTCTACCCTTGTGTTTTCTCTGTCGTGATGTGCCGGCCCGTAATACAGAAATGACCGTGTACCAAGACCTCGTGAAGTCAAAACTTTTATAACCTGCACACGTGTTTCTTTGAAAGCGTAAATGAACGAATTGACCTCAGAGAATCGAAGCCACGACTTCGTTCATAGCAGCGCAGTGCCAGAGCCGCTGAGCCAATATGACGAGCGTGCCTTAATTACACTAAACTTACACTTTGACTGCTCGGACATAGGGAGAGTCTTCGTCTTCCTGGGCGTTCACGGAGACTCCCATGGCCGTCTCTGTAAATAAAGCGAGGTACGTGTTTATGTAAACTGCGAATCAGCTGCTGTGCCACAGAACGTGATTTCACATATTTTGACAAATTCCGGTCAGATGTATCGAAAAAAAAAAATCTGGGACTTCGAGCTTGCTTACATTTCGCACCGATGAATGGACCAACGAGGTCAAGCCTTCTACTCTGTGTGTCTTTTTTTTTTAATTACAGCGAAAGCTGTGTATGACTATGAGCATTGCTAGAAGAAACGAAAAACCGTCCGGCAGCGGTGCCACGAACGGTCTCCATTGGCTAGGTTATCAGTTAGGTCGCTCGTAGCGTCACACCCAAGCTCGCGCGCCATTGGCTGCGCGAGTGACGTCGTTCATCCCGTCGCAGACCGCACAGACCTGTGGCGCCGAGCGCGCATCACTTTCCCCTGAAACTTTCCACATGAGTATGGCACGGACAACTCTACAAGGGCGCCAGCAGTAAAAAAAAAAATGAGAGAGAGCTCGCATTCAGGCCGATGGTGTCCGGGCACAAAAACAGACCTGGTATAGGCCGGGTGCCGGCAGCAACTGCGTAGCGATGATCCGGCAGCCTTCCAAGCCGCGCTTAATTGCGAACGCGAATGCAAGTGCCGGTGGCGGGCGGATCCTACAAACCACGCCGCCGCGTTAACTCGCGATGCCAAGTGCTTGGAACAACGCTGCGTAGCGGCGTCAATGCGGTGATTGCCGGAGCGCATTCGCCGGTGCAAACGGCCACTTTCGGCGGGAGTTTCTCTAGCGGCACATTCGGCTGCGTCGTCTGTCACCGCCTGCGGTTTGAACACAACCACTGTGATTAACGCAGTGCGAAACGCATTTAACCGCTCATTACACTATACATGACCGTGATCATGCGAGGCACAATGTGCGGCGTGTGAAGTAAACACTGTGGTAAACTCAAGCCGAACGTGTAACCAATAATTGTGAAGGTATACATTTTTGGTTACAGCGCGAAAACGACAAAGACGAAGACAGAATGGACACAAACGAGCGCAGCACCTGTGACTGTTCACCCGTCTGTGCCGATACAGAGATTTTGTCGAAGCATAGATCCCAGATAACTAGGGAATTGAAAGAGGCTTTCCATGTTAAATTAATGGAAGAAGAATGCGTCAGTGAGGCATTGATAACATCTCAAATAGAATGAGTTCTCATGTGTTCTCAGCACATGTGGCGTCAGCTGATACTCTATATATGCAAGCTTTTATATTCCTGTTTAACATTTCTGCACAATGTTTATACGCTTCTTTTTTATGATTTTCTTCACGTTCTTGTGGTGTTCAAATAAAAGTTGCAGCTGCGAGTCGGCACTCATTTGTGTCCCTATCTGTCTCCCGTATTTGTCGTTTTCGCGCTGTAACAAAAATTCATTCTTACCAACTAGCCGAACTTTCAATAATTTTGCAATTGTGAAATGATTCAGTGCCCCGTCAGGTTGAACTCACTGCTAAACACCGGGGTCGCACGTTCCAGCTTTCCCTGGTTAACCATTAGTACGGAGTGCCTGAGTGGTAATTTTTAAGAATTATTAATGTGATATAGCAATTTTATGGACACTCTCAGCTGGATTTTATCGTCGGCGTCACCGTCACTCACTCTATATGTATACGTATCTGTATATATGAAAACGCAAGAAAGAAAAATAATTCTAAAAAAGACTCCGGCGCGCGGAATAGAACGTGGAACCTCTGAATCCTGAGTGCTAGGTGTTAACCACTGAGCCACGAAGAAGCTCCTCCTTCAATGTTCAAACGGCAAGCTATTTATATCTACCACTTACCGTTGGTGACGGGCATCTTGGGGGGAACTTTCATGTTTTCAGCATTACCAGCAAGCTGGCGCAATTTCACGATTACTTTGCCCCGTAGAGAGGGAGCATGCAGGTGGACGCTAACGCGCGCGCTTATCTCGCGGTGGAGACAATCGTACGTCTTGGCTGCCCTTGGGCTTTCACCGGAACTATTCTGTTGTAGTTACCGGGCTCGCAGAGGTCACTGCTATCGATGCACAGTCTCCGTTTGCGAAAAGGGCACGCTTTCCAGACACACGCGAAGTAACAGCTGAGACGCTTATTTGTGTTCATCTGTACCTGTGAGTACTTTTCGTGCGTCATTTGTGCGTGATATACGCGGGGCACGTTTCGATCTTCTTGCCATTCTGCGCGTCACCTTCCAATTTGTTGCCATCGCGTTCATTGCTTCGCCTTTGCGGCAAAGCTGTGACTTTTTATTTCAGCAAACGCTTTCAATAGTTCACAGTTCTGTTTGTGTGGTCGGAACATACAGCGCCAGTGCAGCAAATTTTCGTCCATCAATAGTTTCGTGTGTCGTACAAGCATAAAGCGATCGAGCTGCACTAGCTCCAATATTTCGGCGCTGCGTCTGAAAGCATAGCGGTTTGCAAATATTTATAGCTGTCCCAGGTAGTTCGAAGATATAGTAGCGGTCACTACTGTCAATGTGAATTAACATGCAAATTAAAATCCTTCACGCAATCATGAGCATTGACCACAGCTTGGGAGCGGCAACGCATGGCGCTTCAGCCAGCATATAAATGCTGAGTAGAACATGGATTTGTCTAAACGTTGTTATTTCGACCCCGTTTGGCTCCGTGTGGCTTGACGCCGTTTTGCCGCAGGGTGAAGTTCAGCAAATGTTTGGCAGTTCCATTTCACCACCTGAACCGATATATATTTAGGTTCGCCAATTCAAATCGGCTAAGAAAGTTCACTACGATCCATCGTTTTATCCGTAACAAACGCCTGTACTATCAGCGTCAAACGAAAGACGAACAGCGGCAAGCCTTCGCGATGGTATCGCCGTCTACTTATCACCACGGACAGGCACGCAGACATTTACGGGGCAGAGCTGCCGAACAGGATGCGCGCCTGTCAATGGTGATGGCTGGACGGCGTGCACTATACACTATCACGAAGGCTTGCTGCTGTTCCGATTCCATTTGACGCTGATAGCACACAACAATAAACAGAGTCCCAAGTGCGTTCGAACTCGCAAGCACGAAGATTAGGCAAGTCCGTGTACTATACGTACTGTCATTCCCATGGTGGCTAAGCGATCGCAGTGCCAGAGTCTCTTCTAGTAAATATTGCACGGACGATCTCTGATTCATGGTATAGTTCGTCATGAATGTAGTGAAGATCGATAGTGACAAGTGTATACGCATACCGCAGATGACGTCCAGGGTGCAGCACGACACCAGCGGCACGACGTCGAGCGGCGCCTGCTGGTGTTGCTGGGATAGCGTGCGCAGGCGGTTGGCGAATGTCCGAGAGTGCTCCACCATGACTGGTACGAAGTCGTCCAGAAGCTTGAAGTGGAAGGCTGGCGTGAGCAGTTTGCGCCGGGCACGCCACTTGCGCTTCGGGCTGCATCGAAAGGCCGGAACATGCGTTCACTTGCCTGCATGGTCCACCTTACAGCTGCTAACCACAAGGTCATCACGATAGTGCGTCCTTGTGGTCCTTTCTTGAGTGCTTTCATAGATGAAACTTTATTTCGAAGTAAAGGATGGCTTAGTAGCATTAGCGGTCGGGATAGTTGGTACATAGCTGAAATTGAAGCGACTGGCGCAAATATTCTGGAAAGGACAAACACACTTTTCCGAGTCCTTCCACACGACTCCTCGAACTGAACGGTTAGTCCTGTTCTGTTGTACGATGGCTGCGAAAAGTTTAAGGGACCAGATAAATAAGAACAGAACGTACAATGAATGAGCGTTATCTAAATGAAACCGAACAAAATCACCAACGAAATTAACTTAGTGTCCGTCACTATCCGAATAATCATGTTGTCATCGGCCTATCTTATCTACACTGCAGCAAGAAGGCCTCTCTCAATCTCCGTTTAGCTTGTCTTACGCAAGCTGATATAGCGTAGATGCCTTCAAATTCCTTAATTTTATTACCCCAACCTAACCCCATGCCATCGTCAGCTGCGCTTTTCATCCCTTAGTATCGAGTTTATTGCTCCATGTATGCCAGTCGACAATTTCAGCTACGCACTACGTGGCCTGTTCAACCCCTGACTGTCTGGTCGACGCTTCTGTCTTCCTGCCTCTTAATGTTATATGTCATTCATATCCTATTATATTGCCCGCTGCGTAATATCAAAGTTCTTCTATGCCTAATTCTCCTCGAGTTTGTTGTACAAATTTTTGCCCTATAGGTTAGCACCATAGCAGAATGAAATGGTTGCGCATTTTGAGGACAGCGATAAAACCCTTCAATATATAATATTAAATGTTTTCATTATATTTTAGTAAATATGCTTTTGGCAAGCGCATGCGTTAATAGCAATGATTTTCGAAGTTGTGCACAGGGATGATTTTGCTTTCATTGTGTTTAGACACAACTACACTTGTACTAATTACGCAGTTGTGTTTGCTGTCTGCGTTGCGTATTTGTATACATAAGCCTAAACGTGCCCTCTAATGTTGTCAGCGTTCCGTGCAACCTGACTGTACGGCAAAGGCTGTAGTGCTATACTCTTAATCGAATCTGTTGACAGCCGCTTTAAAACTTGCACAAGTGCTCTGACTTGAATCGCTTCACTCCTTAGATTTTCCTTCGGTCGTTTTTCGCTTACGTATCTTCTGTCCTTCCTTTCCAGCATGTGCCCATTAATAATTGAGAGAGAGCCATCTGCTACGTAACTCTCCTTTCCGCGTCTTCAGTCTGTAATCAACAACGGGTAAGAGGAACGGGTATAGATGCCGACGCATTTTATTGACCTACGGAAGCGACTCTCGCCCCCCCGGCCTTGGCCGCCGCGCCGAGCCCGAAGCGGCCGGCCACTTCTTTTTCATCGATTATTTCGCCCGCTGCCACGTAACCATGCGGTACGTTGATCACAGGGCCGTATCGCTTGCAGGAAACAAGGTGTCGCTTTATGAGACTCGACTGAAACGCCGTGAACGCACGTAGCCGGTGGCCCGAAGGGCCACGTACGCAATGGCGTGCTTGCCTTCATTAAGATTTAGCCCATTATATGAGCAGGCCGCATGCTTGGTTTGGCAACGCCGCTAGTTCTCCACACGTGCGGCAGAGAACAGTGCTAGAACGTCGCTGCACTGAACGCGAAAAAAGAAGCGCGAGGCTGTCTTCTTTTTCTTTTCATTAAATAATTGATTCATTTCTTTCTTTCTTTCCTTCTTTTTTTCTTTCTTTTTTCTTTCTTCCTTTCTTTCTTTGTTTTTTCTTTCTTTTTCGATTTTTTCCTTTCTTTCTTTCTTTCTTTCTTTCTTTACTCTTTAGCTAACGAGCCCGTTTACCTCCAAATTACGCGTAGTCACGTTATTGGCCATCTATTATGACTGCAACGAATCGGTCGCGACTCCCCAACTGCTCGTACCTTTTCATATCCAAAAAGCATTTCAACGTCGCTCGAAATACAGAAGTATAAGCCTGCAGACAACAGTTCAGCCCGATCATTCCGGATAAACAACACGCCAGATAGTTTCAGAATAAATTACTCGAGAGGCTTACTTCTCACTGCGTGTATACGCAAGCTGCGCGGTTTCCAACAAAGGCCAAACACTACAATAGAATGTTTATACTAGTTTTAGAGCCGCGCGACTCCCGAGGTGCTTTAACAAGGTGCTTGATCGGGCTGGTTGGTGCTGCATGGTAGACGAAGAAAGTGCTTTACAGCGCAAACGACAGGAGAGGATAGCGCTCTGTTCTCGTCTCTTCTATCCCTTCCTGTCGTTTGCGCTGTTAAGCACTTTCTTCGTCTATACCGAGGTGCTTGCGTATACGTTCACGTTTGCTCTCTTTTTTTTATGTGGCTGGAGAACAGAATAAAAGTGAGGCAGGGTACAAAGCTACGCAAGGACGCGTAGACACGACGGCTATAGGGGTCACCGACTCTGTAAAATTCTCTAATAGAGAGTTCCTTGGGTACGCAACGCCTATATTGTTCATTTGCGTTCTTCATGTGTGCAGCTGGTACAAAGAAATGCAGGTGGTACAAAGGAACGCAAGAGCGTGCGTGCGCCGCAAGTGGCTCGGGGTAACCGGCACTAAAGCTCTCTGCTGAATTATCGGGTATGCAAGCGCATTGTAATATAAAGTTCTGTATTCACTGAACTATCGTTGTTTCATTGCGTCTTCTTGCGGTACGATACCTCGATACTTTGTTATTTATGATAATCTAGCTATATACTATTGCATGTCAGCTTAAAAGCTCGATTATCCTACGAAATCCCGTATGCATCACGACGCTTGTCATGGACACAATGCTAAAAATGACCGCAAGGAGCGCATGACACTTAGTACTGTACAAAAACGCGTTCGCACCTGGTGAGCAGGCCTGTGCCAAGCCACGAATTGAACAGGTCGTACAGAAAGGCTTTGTCCAGGATCGTGTTGCTCTTCATCACGACCTGTTTAAGAAAAGATAAGTGACACTGACGGACATGTGTTGTTTATGAAAGCACCAGGGGCCATATATATCGACAAAGCTTTGCAGAAGCGTACGCATTTGTTCAGGTCGTGTGATTCAGTAGAAAAAGTGTGGGAAGCAAAAACAAGGCAAGGAAATCGATATATACTAGGAAGGTTGTGCATCTGAACAGCGACTCTCCAGAAAATGAAGGCCCGATGCTCTCCCAGCGCTAAGCTGTACATGCTGTTTTACCGCGAAATAAACCCACTAATAATAACTGTTGCGGTTCAACTTTACAGAACAAAGATAAGATTGTGAGAGACGCTGTAGTACAAGGCTCGAGAATTTTTTGACCATGCACCTGAGGTTCTTGTGCATTTCAATCCGTATCCACACAACGGACGCAATCACGATCCAAGCCTGCGGCTTGCGTATACTTCGTCACCTTACGGCAGTCATTCCCGCGTTCCCGTTTCGGTCCACGCGGAGTGGTTCGTGAAACGACGAAGGCCGAAATCACACGCAGTTGGGATCGTCGGGGAGCAACGGCGAAATCCTCACTTGCATGCAGCGTGAATTCCACGCTGTCGTGTGAATGATGCAGAATGACGCCCGCCACACGTACTGCACATGACCAGCTGATCCGTGCCTGATCACGTCCGTCGTGTAAATACAGTTTAAATCTAAGCCACACCAGTCTATAGCATTTTCGCCTCCATCGAAAGATGCGGCCGCGGCAGCAGGGTTTCGATGCCGCGACCTTCGAACCAGCAGTTGAGGACCGTGAACACAACTGCGGTGGGCGCAAAACAGCCCACGACGACCAATGTAAAGGGAGCTTACTTTATTTTAAATTAAACTTTGCTTGCGCCCACAATGAAAGGAGGGTCGATCGATTGCAAAGAGACAATACCGCCGCATGATAACTGCGCGGCGAGGTACTCGTTATAGCCTGCTGTTTCTGAGATTAGACCTAAGCAAAAAGTACGTTTCGCTGTTTTCTTTAGGAAAGTGGCCCCAGCGAAGGCGCCGCATGATTTTTCTTACAGATGAAAAGTTTCACCTATTCTTCTGGGAAACAATACATGCACCTAGTTGTATAGTCAATGAAAACGTCCGCAGGCTCAATAATATGTTACATTGTAACTTATGTCACTTACGACACTTATCCAACGGCAGAAACAAAGAACAGCAGAAAGGAGAAGATGGAAACTTGAAATTAGAGATTCCAAACGGGAAGTAAAGCCGATGTTTCAAAAAATAGACTTGTATACTATAGACAAGTCCATTTGTCGGAACGCCGGCTCCGCCCTGCGTTTACGAATTCCTCATTACGTCACATATGTTACTTATGCTACTCGCGCAGATTGACTGATACGTGAAATATTACTAAGAACAATCATGTTTTATTGTGTGCATACGCTGTGCTTTTTTATTTAAGTTGATTCGCCGAATCCCTGTGGTTTCATAGGGGTCAGAGGCTCCGTCAGTTATGCGAGCGCCTTTCATCCTGATCCTTTTGGTTTCATGTAAAGAAACTTAAATCGTGAATAAAAAGGGGGCCTCGTTGCATGAGAAGTGCCAATGCTCGCCATTATCTCCTGTAACAGTGATACATGAGCCGCAGTAGCCTATAGTGATTGTTGTGCTTGACGGCATGCTGACCCGAAAGTCCCGAGATTTAATTCCGGCCGCGTCTTTCATGGAGGCCAAACTGGTAGAAGTTCGTGTGGTTAGATCTAGGCACACGTTAAACAACCTCCGATGGTTGACATTTCCACAGATCTCAAATACAGCGTCTGTCATATATAGTAATATCGATGCTTTTGCGACGTTAACCCCGACAAATATCATTATTGTAACAGGAATACAGATTTAAAATCCGTATAGCCAGGGCGCAGCTATGAATAATCAGAAGAACAAAGTTCGAACGTTAGAAAATCCGAAGCGAGCACCTACCTCGGCTGCTTCAGCTGAACTGAGAAAGAGGAGGGGCCAGACGCCGATGTAGACCTTGCTTAAGGCGACCTTATTCGTCTGCAAGATCCGTGCGTAGCCCATGACGAACTGCAGGGCCACTGTGAACGTGCGGTTGGGCACCGACGCACCAGATGTCAGTCACACGAACACAGATTCCGCCCCCTCCACCCATACGAGACGAGAACGTAATTGACACGTGACTGTGACACGTGACTAGTGACACGTGACAATAGAAAATACACAAAATTGACACAGACGCGACTCGCTGATCCAATTGCTCGCATCGTCCTTGGTCTATTGATATTCTCGTTTTGTATTATTAGTTGTGATATAAAAACAAACCCATTTATCTGTGCTATGGTGAATTGGGAGTGTAATGTTATTTGCGAAAAAAAAGGGGCTAGCAGCATCCACCTCTCTAAAAGGTGGCCATCGGGTCGCCACACGTGCTTACGAGCTTTTTTATTCGAATGTCATCGGGCTTTGCTCATACAGACATGTTACCACCACTTGCGTCGTTGCAGTTAGCGGCGCAATTTTCGGATGCTTCGCGATTTTTTCCAGAATCTTCCGTTAAAGGGACGGTAAAGTCAAATAACAATTTACGTCAGAGTGAAAGCTCAATGTATGACAACACTTAAAACAACAATATTATCAACAATAGTGTCCTAGTTACCGAGAAATTAAGGTAAATGCACAATAACGCAAGCGCCGCAGTAGGACGATTTCAAAATGATCCCGATGACATCAGACGGACGGCCTACAATTTCTCACGAGTAGTGGATCTAACTGCACTAAATAAAGAACTTTCCGTGCACCAAGAGACGCAATAAAATGCTGCTTGTTCGTTTGTTTGATTGATGGAAAATAGAACCACCGGACGTTACTATGGGGAATGGCGCGAGTGGTCCGAAAATTCAATTTTCGCGTGATTACACGAGACAGGTTGTGGCATCTAGCAGGGCGCAGTTGAAACAAAAGCGTCTGCAATCTCGGAGCCAATAGAAGGAAATTCATCAAGGGCCGCTTTTGCTGCTGTGGCTCTCACTGCTTTCGGTATGCTGCTACTAGCGCTGTAAAGCCGGGCAACGTTGTGCACAGAAACAGTGACGTGAGACGGACCGGTCGGTCCGCTTCTTGAGGCGGGTAAATTGAAGCGCGCTAACCCGACGCGGACCACTAAAACGCGATTTTATTTCAAAATATGCCCTTCCTTGGCACAAAAGCAACACTACGAGGTTTCCGGAACGTCATTTCAACAATCAACGTCGACTTAATAGTTGACTTTAGTGTCCCTTTAAGATACGTGTAGGACGCAGCTAGTCAAAATTTTCCGCGAGCTTACGCAAGCACCAGCAAAACGCTGGAAGGTTCCTGGAAGATCAGATAACCAACGGCGGCCGACTACGATCGCCTCTGTCAGTGTACAGCATATACTTTGCTTACACTGTGGTTTTCCAACTCACGCGCACAAGATCAAAGGTCGCCTTCTTTCAGATTACGACCACGCCACAACATAAACATCAATTCGAGAACGTTTGCAACTGTCAGTGTTCAACGACATACCTACTAATAATAATTATAGGGGTTTAACATCTCAAAACAACGATATGATTATGAGAGACGCCGTAGTGGAGGGCTCCGGAAATTTTGACCATCTGGGGTTATTTTACGTGCACCTTAACCTAAGCACACGGGCCTCAAGCATTTTCACCCCCATCGGCTGCTGTGGCCGGGATTTGATCCCGCGACCGTATAGTGTCAGCAGCCAAGTGTATTCACCACTGTAGACCAACATGGCGGGCCAATGATCTACTGCTCAAGGAGATCCTGGAACACTTTTCGAGGTTAATAAAACGCGAACCAAAAATTACAGCACAGTGCGCGGCTTGGAATTCGCGGTGTATTTTCAAAGTCAGCCCGAAATCGCGCGCGCTCTCTCTCTCTCCTCAAGACAAACGATGCCATAAACACAAATAATGGTGCCATGAACGCAATGTCCACGCCAACTAGCTGATTTCGACACCATAAGAAGCACACACACACACACACACACACACTATATATATATATATATATATATATATATATATATATATAGTTACCGTTGCCGCTGCGGGATGCCACCAAATGGCCACCCACGCTCGGTCTAACGATCACACTGTAGTAACCCGCCCGTTCGAATAGAAAAAAATGACAAAGGCAGATCTCATGTGACATATGGCAATCAATTTCATGCAAAACACACGGCGAGTAATGGCCAATGCTGAATTTCTTTTTTGGCTTTGAGCCAAGACTCCCGAGGTGGATGGACTTGTTTACGTAAGTGTAGTTGTTGTGGCCACATCATGCGCTTACAAGGAACGTCGTCTACACTGGTGTTTAAAAGGTGACTTACGGTATAACGTAACGTCAGCACCCACTTTAGAACAAGGACGTCAGTATTATAAGAAGAAAGTGCACTTTACGGTGTGACGATGCGATTTTCACACGGAACTTTCGTTAGCGCCTTCTTCCGAGGTCGAGCACTGCTTGCCGAGTCACAGTAATACAAATGCAATGTTTCTCAGACTGCTATAGAAGCAGAGTCAACACTTGAAGCTCAATTGACGCACCCCCGACATACCGCGAGTATCACAGGCGTATACATATGTAATGCTTATTGCTTTTTTTTTTTGTAAAATTAGATAGCGAGCACTGCAACTACGACTGACGTTGCACCGACTTTACGACGGTCTTCTTTCAAGGCGGTTTCCAGATGTGGCGCGTGGCTTTGTGGTAGAATACCTGAAAACCACGCAAATGCTTGGGTTTGATTCCCGCTGCGATCCCAATTTTATTCTTTGAATACGTCAGCTCAGCGCTGCCGATATCGGTTTTTTCTTAATTATTTCGCATTTAAACTGCCGATGCCTAGAAGAGCCTGGGTAGGGGCATGTTGGTTGTACACAGTGTAAACTTTTTGCGAGCTACAATGAAACAAAATCGACGAAGAGCGAAACGGCACAGCACAAGTGCGGACTGACAACTGTCTATCGGTCAGTCGCTGGTTTATTTGCGAGATAGGGCACAAAAGTAACCGAATTTCCCCAAACCAAGCAGGACACACTTCCTGTTATTCGTACGAAAAAATACGTTGATCTTTTTTTGGACATGCATTCATACGACTGACTACACGCGCATACACGTAGGGCAATAAAAAAAATACAGCATATCGAAATCGCATGAGCACAATAAACCAACGCAAATATCTCACTCGGTTTTTATTTTCTAATATGGCTAACGTGACACCGATACGTCAAAAATATATATACACGCACACACGTACAAGAGGCTAAAACTTTTTAAGGCATATATGTAGATTAAAATAAAGTGATCGCATTGAAACAACTACTGTGTTAGTGAGAAGACATTTCATTTGATGAGTATATTTACAGTGAGTAAAAATGTAATAATAATAAAATGGTATAATACTAAAATATATAACACTGGTTTGTACATATGTTTCTGTGGACAATAACGCGCGCTCGCAGAAACGACAGAAAAGGCGACGAGCGAAATAAAACAAAACTGCCACAACTAAGCCGCAGGAACACTGGTCGGAGAAAAAACTAATACTATTTTCCAATTAAAAAAATCAAAAGCATTCCCGCACTTTGTCCATATGTTCTAGTTGCCGCAGAGTTAAATGAGTTCAAAGAGTAGAGATGCTTTCGTTGTTCGAAATTTTGGAAAGGATCGCCAACAGCAATAGCAGCAAATGTTAGGGCTCCTGCCCAGGCAAGTGCTTGGCAAACGACTCTTTCACGCAAGAACAAGAACCGGCTCGGTTTTCATCTTTCTCATCGCGAGTAGCGTGCGCACAAGCTGTACAGTATGTGTATGCACGTTCGCTTACAACAAAACCATTGTTCGGCTTTCTAACACACACTACTCCCACAGGCAAGAGCCCCAACACGGCTGGAGAATGAAACCACTGTGACGAAGACAGCAGCACCCGTAGAAGAGTTATTCTAGCTACACGAACCTTCCACGCAGAACTACACGAACGTTTGTCTTCTAGGCACCGAAGAAAAGTCTGGAGGCAAGCGACGGGACCCTGGCTCATATGGAGGGCTCTGCACAGGCCTCAGTTCAGTGACGTACGGTTTCACGGCCGGCAGCCCGACGTCGTCTTCATGGTTCCTGCCCTGCGGCGACGTCCACACCTTTTCCGGACGGCCAGGCTGGTCATCCGAATGTGAATCGGAAGAAGACGAGAGATCAGCGCGCTGCGGTGCCGTCGGTGTCTTCAGGGTTCCATTCTGAGACGCCTTCTTTGCTTTCTCGAATTCGTATTGGTCCATTAGGTAGTCTGCCGAATAAGAGTTAATGGGGCTGATACTGCTACCATTGAAGAGTGACGTGGCGTATGGGTCCACTTTTTCGTCGCTGCCTTCTTTCTTGGGGGTCACCGAGCCAGTTCTGGGCGAGCGGAGGCGAGATAATGGGACGCGTCCTCGTGGGCGGTGGCGGCGATGAACTATCTTGCGATCCTTTGGCATCCTTGCCTCTTCTCCTGAAGCACACGACCAGTAAGATGATGATGATCAGGATCACCAGAAAGAGCAGCGGAAGCACAATGGCCAACGCAAGTTGCAAGGACGTCAAGCCACCTCTCGCGAAATTGCGGTCGTTATCCGTTACGTTCACAACAGCATCTTCTGTGCCCTTTCCACCCGGAACAGCCGAGGGAGTTGTAGGCTCCGGAAAGGTCACTTCCACCACATTGGACACGGGTCCTTTGTTAGAGTCGTCGTCGGCCCGCATAGCGAAGTAGTAACTTCCTCCGTTAACGCCGTGACTGAATTTGAACGAGCACATTTCCCGTTCGCCAGAAGGTTTGGGCGAGTTCGCGAGATTGTCGATGTCAAACTTTTGGATGAATTTTTCCAGAATTTTCAAAAAGCTTCGCGAAGTCGACGGCTCTGTCGAAATATCTGAATTCATAGCTCCTTGCCGTACCGTGGTCATAGTCGTTTCCGGGTGCAGTCCATTCGAGTGTGACACGATCGCCGTCGCGGCTCGCTTTCAGGTCGGTGACGCGACTTGGCGGGTATGTGTCACCTGGAGGCTTGTCGGCAATGCTGAAAAACGACCCGTACTCGAAATACCGCGAGAATCGTCCAGACGGCACTGACCCTCGTTCCGGAAACTGACTTCCACAGCACTGAGCTGGCGGTGATGGACCCTCGTTTCGCATGGCACCACCAACTATGACGCTCTGATCGGAACCTTCTGCGCTCACTGACAACGTGTAGCGGCCCTTTTTTGAAAATCCAGTGAAGTACCGGCTATAGATTCCGTCGCCGGCGGTCACGTCGGGAGTGCCAGCACCGTTGTCCACGAGACTGAACTCCGTCGTGCTGCCCTCGGGATCGACCACAGTTGCTGTGACGCTAACGTAGCGAAGAGGGTTCGAGCCTTTTCGAACTTCCGCATAGACTAGAAGCGGCTTCGAAGGATCCACGTTCCAATATTCAGAGCTAAGCCAGGCATTTAATGTAATGGGCGGATCGCTGGTCGAAGACGTCTGAAGCCAAACTTCAAGCTTGACTGAATTTGGCATGGAATTTTCGGGTTTGATGCGTAGGGTCCACTGTCCGGGGGAGGCGTCTCGTATCTTAAACTGGCCGACATGGAACGCCTGCAGCTCTGTCAGTTCTGGGCTTTTTATACCTATAAGCTTTACCAGTTGGTGATTCAAGAAACAGATCATTGAGGTGATAAGAAGCTTCGGCATCATTCTCGAAGACGATGTCCACCCCAAGCGTTATCATATCGAGTGAGTCAACATTGAAGACTTCGGTGGTTTCCTCCCCTTCTTTAACTGGGTCTATTACCTTCTGTCGCAAGATTATCGGGGCCCTTGTCTCGCCGTACGAAGTTTTGCTGAATGTCAAAGCAGCAATCGCGTTGGCTTGTTGCGTGTAAGCCAGAGATCTTTTCCCGTAGGTCTGGGCTAAGAAGACACTAGCCGTCATATTCCGAGCAGAGCTTTTCAGACGTTGTTTTCAACACCACTCTCGGAAAAAAGCAGGGCGTGACCCTGAGTTGTTTACCGTTCAACACCTTTCTTGCAGCATTTAGGTCCTCCAAACGAACTTGTTCGTGAGATATTAAAAGAATTGAACCGTGTGGTCCCTGTCTGTTCATCCGCCTTCGTGTCCAAGAAGTTGCAAAGCCTTGGATACCGCCCGCTCAAGAGTCGATGTGACACGACGAGATGCCGGATAGCTCTTCGCGAACTGTTCTCTATGTTCCTTGGTATTCATAACAATGAGCCCGCTGTCGGCATAAAACACGCTCGAACTGTAGGCCACCAACGCCATCATCGGATCCCTCTGGGACCAGCGTCTGAGCGAACTTCTTGAGCGCCGTCAGAGTCGTCATGTGCGGTGTCCGAGATGACAGGTCTCTGCGATTCAACATTCCAGACTACGACGAGGCGCAGCGGAGCCTCCTGGACGATATTTAACTTGACACGCTCGTACGGTGATGAGCCACTGAGGTTGATACCACTGAAGTCGTCAGACTGTTCAATCACGTCTCGAGCACTTCGCGACTCGCAAAGAACGCCCTGCTTCGTGGCGGCCGCGTCGGGCGAGTACAGTGGATCGTTGGGCACAGGTTGTTCAATGAATACGCCGTACCTGAAACGTAACCATTCTGTGGCCATCGCTTCACCGTCGATATTGACGACAGAAGAAAAAGGCAGCACCGTTCGTAAGCCTTGGACACCGCAAGGGCCATACTGCAGGGTGTACGGGTGCTCGCCGAAGAGGACGCCCTTGTCGGGCTCGATCACAAAATGCGCTGAGCCGAAGCTGGGCCTAGAACTCACCGCGATATGCAGGTCGTCTCTGGTGCTGTTGCTCTCGACAATCGCGGAAGCATTGAAGGAACTGGGAACCAGCAAGGTGACCTCCTTGAAGAACGCGCGGCCATCGAGTTCACCGTAAACCTTCTTCGATGCAGAGTCGACGAGCTCGGCGATGATGTTCACAAAGTCGTCGGGCAGACGCTCTCGCAATATACGCGGCGAAAGAGCTATGGTGACGCCCGTGTAACCGTTGCGACGAAGCACGATGTCACCGCGGCTCACCACAAAGCACAAGCACGAAGCGGACGAGCAGCAGCGCAGAGGCAACACACCGACGCATTTCCGAGGCGAACGCTGCGACAACAGCCGAACGGCCGTTATTTCGAAAGTGGGCTTCATATTGGAAGAACGAGCTTGTGTACTCGCAAAGCCACAATCGCGGATGATAAGGTTGCTTAGCAATCCTGCGTAGCCACCTCTGTCGCGGAAGATAACGGTCCTCGCTCGCAGGAATGCCAACTGACCAGATAGACTGGCGAAAGAACACGCTGCGCGACGCATGCGTAGCCTTTGGGTTTGCGCTATCGACAACTCTTCAGATGGATGCTCCTTCCATGGTGCGATAAAGACCAAGGCAGCGGGAACAGTGACGTCATGTAACTGTCACGCAATCGACTGCGCGACGAGGAGCTAGTGCGTATAAAAGAAATCATGCCACTTATTAGCGGACGTTCTTGCAGACTCCTGAAAAGTATCAACGTTACACCCCCATGCACACGTATGCACTATAGTATGCTAAACAGGTTTACTTTGCACATGCCTTTTACTGTAAAGAGTGTCACACCTAAATGTACAGCAATTTATGTCACGAAAATCCCATTGTGAATTCTGCCGTACGTCATGAACCGTTGGAAACGGACAAGCTCGAGTTACCCTGTAGCGATCGAATAATCTGCCTGTGCTCGTTGATCATACTGAAATCGCCGTTTCAGCCATGTGATAGCGGCGATAGCACCGTGCAACAATGTAGGCCATAATAAGATAAAAATCACCGAATATTCGACAGCCCCCCGTTCACCGCGCCAAGAAACGAAAGTCAAACACATGACCCTCATGGCTAAACGGGAAGTGTTGTCAGCGCCTGGTATCAGGTGGTATTACACAATTTTGTGCGACATGCAATGAATTACCCATGTGATTTAGAAAAAAAATTTATTTATACACCGCAACGTGCCCTCACCGCTTCTAGGATAGCGGAGTCTATCAATATAGTTAACTTCTCGGTATTTCATTCATTTATGCAATGCCGTAATCTTTGCCTGTCACGTTTGAATAACATTAGAGAATGCCACTCTCCCAACGCTTCTACGTTTCCCAATTTTGAAATCTTCAGCCACCATACATGTCTATAATAAAATAATACGAGAGAAATAAAAGAGTGATGTGCACTGATGTATACATCTGTACATGTTCTTATGCGAAAGTACATTTTCGATGGAGGCGAAAATGATGTAGGCTCGTATGCTCAAATATGGGTGCACGTTAAGGAACACCGTGGTCGAAATTTCCGGAGCCCTCCACTACGGCGTCTCTCATAATCATATGGTGGTTTGGGACGTCGAACCCCGCATATCAATCAGTTACGCGAAAGTATTTTTAAAAACCTTTTATCGATGTCTGAGAAACTATGCCCGGACCCGGAAATGTGCGATTTATCCTTCCTAAAACACGGTGGTGATTCTTTTTTCTTAATGAACAGCACAAAGGAACAGTGAACAAAAACAAAATTAACACGCAGATACAAAGGGGCTACAATATAAATCAGGAAGTGCAATCCACACAAGGGATTGTTTCTCAATGTAATCACATTTCCTAGGGGTAATTGATTAAAGGTACGTGGGCCGGATCTAAAAATAGCTATATGGGTTCTGATTCCCGCTTTCCACTTTCTTTCATCTTTACAATGTATTATTGTGCATATTGGTGCATAACATTTAGATATTTCAAACATATTATTCCCCAAAAGTGTGCGCTAGTGCCACAAAAATAATGTATAAACTGTTTTCCTTGCAGATTTGTGCACAATTTTCGATCTTCGCTACTTTATCGGAGAATTGATACGATACCATCGATTATGTAGAGAATGATGAGCTTGTTTCTCAATAGGAGCTTGTTTCAAAATAGGAGAAAACATTACTGTTTTTAGACTAAACCACCAGGTTTTATGTGTACAACTGATATCAGAAAAGGCATGTGTTTATATCAATTGACCAGAAAGGTCTTAGTTGTTCGCGCGTTGTAATCGCGGTTGTTATCACTCTTTGTACAATACGATGGTCATGTGAACGTGTGGCAACGCCAGTACGCACTTGCGTTTTGGTAAAATAGATGGCGCCTCGTGCGTGGGTGAACAAATGTAGGTATGCTAGATAAGGCGCGCTACGTCCCATTCGAAAGCAGGTTTAATGCGGTCCCGTACGTTTCTGTTTACTGTACAAATGTGGCATTTGAAACACTTCGGTGCGAAAGCGAGAGGTATACATTTAAAAACGGACATCCCATTTCGGTAATTTCTGTGATGTAATGAAGATGACAAAAAAAAAAACTAATAGATGCTAGTGGGAAACCAAGAAAAAGAATTAACTAAGCACTTTCTTGGTCGAATACGCTAAACTAGCGGGAAGGGAAACGTGGAATATTACAAAATATGTAGATGAAAGAAGGAATGAGCGGGAAATAAAAGCTGTCAGAGAGCGAGGCTGTTGTCCCTTTCATTCTGTATATACCTCCAGTATGCAAGTCTCGTCTATCGCTTTTTCCTAGTTACTTATAAGGACACTTCCTCGTTTGTTTATTTAAGCTAAGTCAGAGGTACGCAACGGTTCTGGTCCACATGGTTATTCCCATAGCTCGTCCCCTTTCTGTCACCCTCAGTCTATTTTCTGCCATTTCAAACACATCAGCTCTCCTCTTTCAGTTTAATGTTTGAATCTCCCGCTGTGGGGGTGCTGACACTCCCTGTAAAGTTGTTTGCGCCGTGTGGTGCACGTGCCTCGTCCCAAGGCCGCATTTCGGGTGACGACCACCGGGCGATAGATGGCGTTGTGTTCGCGTTGACAGACCCTGATTCAGTGCAAGATAGCAGACTACAACCTTAGGCTGATCCAGTCCATCAGACAGGAAGGAAGATCTGCAGCACACAAATTTTGGACATACATTAGGTCCTTGGACAGAGCCGCCCCCCCGCCACCTCCTCTCATAGATGCGGCAACGGGGCAACCAGTCGGAGAGCCCTGTGAATACATTGCACAGCACTTCTCCCGGATTTTCGGGACCTCAGACTTGAATACAGACACCACCCTTAGTAAAGAGGAGGCAATCAGTCCTAATACCGAACGCCCCCCAAGCCAAACAGAACCACCCTGGGCCCTCTCAAGGTTCACAGTTGAACGGGCGTTGAAGCGGATTAGGGCTGGAACGGCCACTGGTCTGGACGGCATGCCAGCGCGCGTACTAAAGTGCTTGGGAGAAGACTCGAGGGAACAGCTCGCAGAGATCCTCACGGCCATCATCGAAGGCGAGCCCATCCCTAAAGAATGGCATGAAGGGAAGGTGATTCTTATCCCCAAAAGGGGCGGAGATGCGAGGAACATAGAGGACTACAGACCAATAACGGTCACCAGTGTTATGTATCGCTTGTTCGCGGGGGTCATCAAAGCATGGATGAGTGGCTGGGCGGAAACCAAGGGACTACTGACCGAGCTTCAGAATGGCTTCAGGCCAGGCAGACGTCTGGATGACAATCTGTTCGTCGTCACACAGTGTGCAGAAATAGCTCGCAGGGAAGGGAGAACGCTGTTGTGCTGCTTCCTCGATGTTGAAAAAGCGTACGATAGCGTGCCGCACGGTCCTCTCTTTGCATGCCTGTCTGACCTTGGACTGCCCCGGCTGCTAATCTCCACTATACAACGGTTGTACAGTGACAATGTAGTGAGTGTGCAGTTGGGTGCCATAACTACTGGCCCAATTCATGTAAATAAGGGTCTGAGGCAGGGCTGCCCACTGTCACCATTGCTGTACATTCTATACGCATCCAGAATAGAGCGGGCCTTGTTGAACTCCAACCTCGGATTCAGCATGCGTTTCAGCACAACTAGTGCTGAAGAGAACTTCCACCTGCCTGGTTTGGCATTTGCAGATGATCTGGTGGTTATGGCAGAGAGTAACCAGGAGTTGCAATCCCTCCTCGACATCTGCCAGACGGAACTCGCGAGTCTTGGACTTCGATTCAACACTAAGAAATCGGCGGTTGTCCGTCTAACTGGAGGGAGTACTGATGCAGCAGCGTTGACTTTAGGAGGAGAACTGCTGGCCACACGCAACGATTACAGATACCTGGGCGTCACCCTGTGTGTGGATGCAGCAAAATATAGTCTACACGAGACTGTGATTCGACAGACTGCGTTGCAGGCTCAACGAATCCTTCGTCGCCGATGCCTATGGGGTTGCAACCGATTTCAGATGATCCGGGACCTGTGGAAGATGGTTCACGTGCCGGGCCTGACGTTTGGAAACGCGGTAGTGTGCATATCGCCAACGACACGGGAGTGGTTGGAGCGTCAGCAGAGAGAGGTCGGCCGTGCAGCGCTCGGTTGCCATTATCGAGTGGCCAACGAGGCGATTCAGGGAGACGTCGGATGGTCCAGCTTTGAAGCTCGGGAAGCCGCCAGCAAGATTGCCTATCGGGGTCGTCTCACGCTCATGCGACGCACTCGATGGGCGCGCCGCGTGTTCGAGTACCTTTCGGCAACATGCATGAGGACTGACTGGACACGACGACTCTACCAGCTGGAGAAGAAGTATGGCTTCTTTGCAGAAGCCAGTCCTATTGAAACAGCAGCCAAGTGGACGGTCGAGGTCCGCATGCGAGTCAGAGAAGCAGAAGAAACCCGATGGCGAGAAGCTATGGAGGCGAAGTCCACTCTCGAGTGCTACAGGAAACACCAGGACAGCATCTGTGGGTCGCGCCTCTATGACAATAGCATTGGCAGCAGCCTCCTGTTCGAGGCGAGAGCTGGGGCTCTTCGCACTCTGGAGTACCGCAGAAAGTTTGATGCCACTGTGGTCAGCAACCTGTGCAGAGTTTGCGGCGTAGCGAGTGAGACACAGGAGCATCTCGTCCTTCACTGCAGGAGTCTCCCAACTTCTCAGGTGGAGGGTGCAACCCTCCCACAGGCGCTCGGGTTTCAAAGGCTTGATGAAGATGGAAGCAGCGACAATGGGGGGGGACGGTACGCGGTCGCAGCCACGAAAAGGCGGCTTACTGAGTGGTGGGCAACTATACGGCGGACTTAGGACCTAGACCACTGTGTGCGCGTCTCTTGCCT